TTCGGCCTTGGCAATTCTTAAAGAAGCGGCCCCACTTCGTACTCACATAGGTGACCTAGATACGGTATTTCATTATACCACATCACTAAGGTCATTAAAAACATTAGCTTAACCTTCCACCCCCACAGGGCATCACTGTATAAAAGAATGGGCAAGAGGATTTACCTCTTCAGTGACTCACCTGTTACACGAAGTTAGGTTGTCCCTTTGAACCTAGATCTTGGGCTCTCCAGTCAACTAGGTTGGGTTTTCCGTTCTGGTAACCTTTACTAAAGGCCTTAACCTCATTCCTCTTGACAACTTTTCTACTAACTCTCAAGTTAACCCTTTGGTTAGCGAATCCGCAATGTTGTCCTTAGACTTGACATAGTCTAGAGAGACAACTCCATTTGAGAGTAGTTGTCGTATGAAATAATGTCTACGACGGATATGTCTAGACTTTCCATTATACATATTACTCTGTGCCCGACCAATCGCTGATTGGCTATCGCAATGAATACTGATAGCTGGCACAGGTTTCAGCCAACGTGGAATATCCTCAACAAACTGGCGAAGCCATTCAGTTTCTTCAGTTGCTTTATCTAAAGCAAGAAACTCAGATTCCATCGTTGATCTCGAGATACACGTTTGCTTGGTAGATTTCCAAGACACGGCTGCCCCTCCGAGGGTAAACACATAACCACTAGTGGATTTGGAATCTTTTATATCAGATATCCAATTTGCGTCACTATACCCTTCTAGTACCGCTAGATATCTGGTATAATGCAGCCCATAATCCAGGGTGTAACGGATATACCGCAACACCCGCATAATGCCCTTCCAATGAGTAGCATTAGGATTACTCGTGTATCTACTCAGCCTACTAATAGCGTAGGCGATATCCGGCCTTGTACAACTCATCAGATACATCAAACTCCCAATGACCCAAGAATATTCTAGTTGAGAGACACTCTCACCATTATTCTTGGTCAAATATAGACTTAAGTCTACCGGTGTCCTAAACATACTTGTATCTGACTTTCCAAATTTCTCAAGTATCATATTAACATAATGAGCTTGAGAAAGTACAATACCACCAGATGTTCTGGTGATCTTAACACCCAGAATGACATCTGCAAGGCCCATGTCCATCATGTCAAACTTAGAGTTTAACAATCTTTTGGTAGCTTTAATCATTTCATCATTGCTACCAACAATGGGTATCTCATCAACGTATAGACACAAAATGACATAACTTTTGTCAGTGTCTTTAACATATACGCACTTATCACACTCATTGATTCAAAACCCATTGGACAACATAGCATTGTCAAACTTCTCATGCCATTGTTTGGGAGCTTGCTTCAAACCATACAATGACTTGACAAGCTTACAGACTTTCTTACTTTCCTGGAGCTGAAAACCCCTCGGGTTGCTCCATGTAGATTTCTTCATCTAAATCTCCATTTAAGAAAGCTGTCTTTACACCCATCTGATGTATTTCTAAACCACGTAAAGCTGCTATTGCAATCACCATGCGAATGGATGTAATCCTTGTCACAGGTAAATACGTATCAAAGTAATCCAGGCCTTCTCACTATCTGTATCCTTTGATAACTAGCCGAGCTTTATATTTGTCAATTGACCCATCCACTTTCATCTTTCTTCGAAAGATCCACTTACTCCCCAAGGCCTTACTGCCTGGGGGTAGATTAACCAACTCCCAAGTATGGTTCTGTAAGATGGAGTCAATCTCACTCTTAATTGCTTCTTTCCATAAAGGACTTTAAGGTGAAGTCACAGCTTCATGGAATGTTCGAGGTTCTTCCTCTAACATATAAGTTAAGAAGTCTGGACTAAAAGACTTGGTGGTTCAAGCCCTTTTGCTCTTTCTTGGCTCATCTACTTCATCAGCTTGATCATCTACTTGATCAGTTATTTGATCAGCTGTTTGATCATCCATGTGATCGTCTTCGTGATCATCTATTTCTTTCATGGAACTCGGAACCCTGTCTTGGGGACGACACGGAAATACATCTACAAAGAAAGATGCACTTCTAGATTCCATGATAGTTTTCTGGTGTATATCTGAAATATCAGACTTGTGCACAAGAAATCTATATGCACTACTATTTTGTGCATAACCAATGAAAATATAGTCCACGATTTTTGGACCTATCCTAACTCGCTTGGGTATAGGTACCGCCACTTTTGCAAGACACCCCCACATTCGTAGGTATTTATATACAGGCTTGTGACCTTTCCACAACTCATATGGAGTCTCGTCCACTTTCTTCCGTGGTATTCTATTAAGAATATAATTCGCAGAGAGAATTGTTTCCCCCCATAAGTTCTGTGGCAACCCAGAACTTATCAACATTGCATTCATCATCTCTTTCAGCGTCCTGTTCTTCCGCTCAGCAACACCATTTGACTGAGGCGAATAAGGCGCCGCGGTTTGGTGAATAATCCCAAATTGAGCACAAGTCTCGGCAAATAGGGATTCATACTCACCACCACGATCACTTCTCAATGCCTTGATTTTCCGGCTTAATTGATTCTCAACTTCATTCTTAAAAAGAATAAAGTTATCAATAGCCTCGTTTTTGCTTTTAAGCAAATACACATGAAGTACTTGTTGCCACTACGTGATTGTACAACTTTCAAGTCACACACATCACTATGCACTAAACCCAAAGGCTGGGTACTTCTTTTAATAGAATGAAAAGAAGACCTTGTCAATTTTGCTTCTACACAAGTTTCACACTTGTGTTGTGGATTAATCTTGAAAGATGGTATGTGATCTAACTTGATTAATCTACGTAAAGAGTCAAAATTTACATGACCCAATCTACCATGCCATAAATTAGGGGACTCAAGCATATAAATAGAAGAAGAAGCTTTCTCATTAATCTTAGGGATAAGTGTAACAACCCTCATTTTAACTTAGTCATACTTGCATACATTTATGGATGATCTTGTTTTAATATGTGCATTTGCAAATCTTGTCTTGTTTTGCTTGAATGATTGCTTGCATGCTTTGTTCTTGTCTGGTGTGTTGCCGAGGTCATCTTAAGCCTAGACACCATCGAGACCTCTATCACTTAGGACTATCTTGGAACCCCTTGATTGACCTCCACCTTCACCCTGGCATATTGGCCGAGATGTCACCATCTAGGCTGAGGTGCACGTCGCCTAGGCCGAGATCACCTTGCCTTTACCCTTAACAGCTGAGGTTGCAGAGTTTCCCATAAACAACTTCTCCCCGTTTGAAACCGGTTCGAAAGTTGTGAACAAATATGGCGAGTGGCCCCAGTGTCCACCCACCACTCCCTCGAGTTTGACCCCACCATGTTCACTTCTGACACGACGGCTGACAGATGCATGTTGCCCACATCGTGTGACAATTCCTCTATTTCAGCCATATGTGCCCGGTTTTTGTGTTGGGGAGGGTTTTTCCTGTAAGGCTTCTTCTTCAGACAATCAACTGCCCAATGCCCATCACTTCCACAGTTGAAGCATTTGCCATCAAACCTAAAGGTAGGCTCATTTGGCTTGTAGGCTGGCCTTTTGGAGATTCCTCCTTTAGCCCCCAACTTTGAACTTTTGCTTGTCGGTGGTTTTTTCCTCGCCCCCGAGGACTCGCCATGCTCAACCATGTTGGCTTTGACAGTAGAGGTATTCCCTCCTTTCTTCTTGTTGTCCTCTTCAATCCGGAGCCTGACAACGAGCTCTTCGACTGTCATCTCCTTTCGTTTGTACTTCAAGTAGTTCTTGACGTCTTTTCAGCCGTTAGGCAGCTTCTCAATCAAAGCAGCTGCCTAGAATGACTCACTTAGGACCATCCCTTCTGCATGTATCTCGTGCAGAATCACTTGGAACTCTTGGACTTGACTCAGGACAGTTTTAGAGTCCACCATCTTGAAGTCCAGGAACCGGCCGACGATAAATTTCTTTACCCCAGCATCCTCGGTCTTGTACTTTTTGTCCAAGGCATCCCACAACTCCTTAACCGATTTCCTGGCATAGAACACGTTGAAAAGCAGATCCGCCAAGCCGTTCAGAATGTAATTCCGGCATAAGAAGTCTGCTTGTTTCCAAACGTCCAGAGCCATGAGCTTTTGTTTATCTTGCTCATTCTCCTCTACGGCTGGTACATCTTCACTCAGAAACCTCGCAAGGCTTAGAGTAGTCAATTAAAACAGCATCTTCTGCTGCCATCTCTTGAAATTCACTCCCGTGAACTTCTCCGGGCACTTGTGATGATTGAGCGGTCCTCCTGGAACAGTCGGAGTAACAACAGGAGGATTGACCACAGAGGTCACAGCAGGGGTTGGCAAGCCAGTCGCCCCGGGGTTCGGATCCCTACCAACATTAGCAGCAGCAGTAGCAGCATCAGAGACAGTTGCCATTTCGTTGGGTGCTGGAGGTACGCTGGCGTCTACTTCCCAGGATACGACGGTTTTTATCAGCTACAACAGAAGCACCTTCTGATTAGCTTAGCGAATGGACAATGGCAGCACTCTCTCTCAGGAAGAAAATTATAGGAGAAGTAGACTGACAGTGTATGGATGTCAAGGAAAAATTCTATATATCTTTTCAAGGAATAGGGCCTCCTTTTATCCACCATGGGGGAGAGGGGAGGAGCCTCTAGCCATCAAGGCTGGCAACTAATGCTAGCAAAACTGTCCAATCAATTTTGTAAAACTGATGAGCCTTAAATGTGTGAGTTATATACACATTTATGAGGCAATTTCTTATTCAACCATTTTTCTTCAACAGAAAACACTCCAACTTAAGGGTCAGATTTTCCGTGTATGTTGTTGTGCGGACACTTTTCACCGAATGGTGGAGAATGCATTTGAGAAGATACAATTTATTATCTTGAAAGTTCGCCTTTTAGTTTACTGGAGGAACTCAATATTACCTCTGTCTGTATTACTGTTCTGCAGGCCTTCGGTAATCTCGGATTACTGGCCGGTTACGGTACTAAACCCATAGGGCCGGGTTTGGGTCGTGACACATACCATCTGCCAAAGAGTGGAACAAAGTTAGGGGTGTTTGTAAACTTGTAGGGAGTGTATATAATGCAGCAGAAGTGTTATTTGAACAAAATATCCAACTGCCAGCATCAATCTTCAGAATATTTGGGAGCTTCGGGCCAGTCTGACAGAAGATTCTGCTAGTTCTGGTAGTTTTTTGAAAGCTATGGCTCAAAAAATGTTGAAGAAACTTGATAAGTACTGGAAAGACATGTTTTTGGTACTGGCTGTCACTACGGTGATGGACCCTCGATGCAAGATGAAATATATAGAATTTGCTTCCATGAAATATGAAGGTAGCGCAAGCAATTCACAAGCCGCTACTGTCTTGGAGGCAATTCAGAGCCTTTTTGATGATTATGCAGCCCACAATCTAGAAGCAGAGAATGCTGCTACAAATGATTCAACTTCTTCTAATTCAAGTTATTCTGACTTAGAAGATGATCTTGCTAGTGACATCAAGGAATGACACCAAAACCCTAATTTTGGGTTTAAATGTCTGGATGAATATAACCAATACATTGAGTCTAATAGTCAGCCCCTAAAATTAGAATTGGAGTGGTATTTGGAGGAACCTGTCATGCCCTGGAGCCAGAATTTCAAATTGCTGAGTTGGTGGAAAGCAGCAAGTCCCAAGTATCCTATTCTGTCCAAGATGGCTCGTGATTTTTTGGCAATACCATTGACCCTGGCTACTTCCGATGAAGCATTTTACTCTGAACTACGGAAGCCTGATAGAGATTTAATTTGCTTGGGTCCAGAACTAATGAACGCCTTGATGTGTACTCGAAGTTGGTTTGAGAAACACAAAAGATTATTTGGGTATTGCATTCTTTCCTTTTGTCCATTTCTTGATGAATTACTTTCCTACTTATTTTCTACATGTAGCACTGACACATTTCAAGTAAAAAACTAACCATGGACTGCTCTTTCAACATAGAGAAATGGCCTTTTTTATTTTATGCATCCTAGGGAGCATGACCATTTATTTTATGAATCCGTTTAGCTGATGATATTAATCATTTAAGCTTAAATGAATTATTTGATTTACTTGTGCAGAACATTTACTTAAAACTAATCTTATCTAACAATTATATGTTGTTCCACTAAATGAAAATGCCAGTTTGTCTGCCCTATTGTTTTTCTTTTGTGATGGCATAATGAAATGCAAGTGGCTCCTCAAACTTGAACTTACAGACCACACTTTATTTTTGTTAAACATGCTTGTAATTTATAATATTTGCCCTTATGCTGTGTTTGGTTGAGGGATTTGGGAAGGGATTTGGAAAAGGAAAGGGAAAAGGTGTGTGAAACTATGTGAAATGTAGGTATATTTTATTCACATTTTACCAAACTTTTCCCTTTCCCTTTCCAAATCCCTCTTCAAATCCTCCAACCAAACACAGCGTTAGTGTTTCTGGTGATGCAGGTTCAAGTCATAAAAATAACCTCTTGAAAATGTACATCAAATTCTGCCCAATTTTAGCTGGAACCTCGTGTATTGGATAGTCCTTTTTTATGCTTACAATAATTTGTAGTGAAGCTAATCAGTAATGGTAGAAGAGTTCGGCTACATAATCAAGAAATCGTTACCTAAGAACCAGTAAATATTGATCACGTAACAGTGATAGGTTTTAGAATGGCAGTTCTATAGCAAGAAAACTTCAAACTAGCTTGTCTTGTTCTGGCTGTGGATTTTTCTTAATGCATGTTAATATCATGATGATTGCGAGATTAATTTAGCATCTCTCTTTTCTTGTTTATATGAAAATTTGACAGCGGAATTCTTGATGTTTGGAACAGGTACGTTTTTTGGTTGGCTGCTCATGTTATGGAGCCTGTGATCCAATCTGAAAAAAGCAATCAATTTGGTGGAGCAAAGGGAATATGCAGCGGTTATGTATGGTTACTGGTATCAAACATCATGAGTTCTTCAAATAATGCTTTATATATGGATAATTTGTGGAACACCCTTTTTTTTTTTTTTTTTCCTGATTTTGTTGGAGCATCTTGTATTATGGCTGATTTATGCGTTTTCGATCTGTTTCTCTCTCCGTGTCTTTCATGTTTGATTTCCAAAGTATGATTTTTACAGGATATGAAAATAAGGAACAGTTAAAAATTATAGTCAGAATTAATAATATTAGATGGGAAGATATATGATTAGAATATGTAAAAGGAAATTTATTGAATATATTGAGATACTTCCATGAATTGATTTTATACTTGAATTAACAAAAATAACCTTGTATGATTATATATATATATATATATATGTAAAATCATATTACAGAGCAATTTTATCAGTTCATACAAATTGACCTGACAATAGGGGTTAACCCCAATGAGCATGTTTGTTTTAGACTTGAGGATAGAATAAGCAAGAGCGGATAAGTAATATTTTGTGTTTCACATAATTTTTTAGTATCACAAAATTATTGAATATGATTATACATATTATGAAATTATTTAGTTAGAATGAAACAAATAATAAGATAAATTTAGGGGTTGTTTGGGGTGTGTACTTTTTGTCTTTTTAGACTAAAAAGTTGATGTTGAAAATATGAATGTTTGGGTTAACTTTTTGAATTTTTATAGAAAAATGTGTATTAAAAAATTATATAAATTAATGTGTAGGGAAAAATTAATATTGGGAGTTGTGCAGCCGTAATTGTTGACTTTTGGTGAATAGTGATAACTTTTTAACTTTTTGAATAATTTTTTGACTTTTTGATTTTTTTGAGACTTTCCAAATTGGCCTTAGAATATTATCTTTGACCGTCCAACAGTGGATTAAAAATAAACTACAAAGAGATTAATTATTTTTGTTAAAAATATACTCCCTCCGTCCCAAAATAATGGTTCCTTTTGGGGAATCTAACTTTTTTTGGTAGTACAATTATTGCATTTGAAAAAGTTGATTTTCTAAAATTATCCTCTTGATAGTACATTTTTTGGGAATATTAATGTCATAAATGTACTTTTTATATTGTTTATTAATTTAAAAGAATGGCAAAATAGAAAATTTATATTATTTTTGTACTTGATTTTTGAAGAGGGACTAATATTTTGGGACAATGAAAAATGGAATAAGGGATTAATATTTTGGGACGGAGGGAGTAATATAAATAATAAAGTTATCTCGCTTCTTAATAACTTAAAACTTTCAGATAATTAATAGTAAACAATTAAATAAATCATAATCTATTTTTTAAACGTCTAACTAGGTATTTTTTTAAAAATAAAAATATTAATTGATCATTAATATTATTTGCATTAACGATGTGACGTAGTATATACACTCACTTCATTATCCTTTTAAAAAAATATGTATCTTATAATTTTTTAACACGGAAAATACTTTAGGTTAGCATGTGCTCTTTCAAAAATAAAAAACTTAACCTGTCAAATACAAACTAATAAAGTGAATTAAATCAGCTACAGTCACGGTTCACTGAAGGCTTCTCTCCTTATTCTATTCCCTCCTGACATTTTTACATACAGCTTTGAGCACAGAGAGAGAGAGAAAGAAGCAATAGGAAGCCCTCTTTCTCTCTCTAAAGGAAAGCTGTTCAGACCATATTGTGCATCCATAACCAGGTTAGTTTCCAACTTCTTTTAACTTTGTTATATATATATATATGGTTCTTAATTTGTCATTTTCATTTTCATGTCTCTTTACCTTGCTCTGCTCTGGTTATTGTATTTGTTAAATTGAATGTAAAAGGAAATGTAAAGAAAAGAATAAAAAGAAATGCGAGAAGCTAATTTCTCTCTTCTTCTTTTTTTGGGGGTGGTAGGTGAGAATTTACGAATTTCTGGCTTTGTTTGCTTGTACTGACAAAATGAGGAAAAAAAAATTATTTGTTTACTTTATTGAAAAAATATTAGGGACAAATCATTTCATTTTCATTTCCTTCTGATTTCACTCATCAAATTCAAAATCTAAAAATACCTAGACTATAGGGTTTAGTTGGAAATTTATGGTTTTTATTCTTATTTTATTTTTTGCATGTAGAATGTCTATTGTGAAAATAATTTAGTAACAGAGATATAACACATTTGAAACCAAACAAGAAATTTTGATGAGAGAGAGAGAGAGAGAGAGAGCATTTTTTGATTTTATGGTGGCTGGCTGCTTATGCTGATGGAAAACATGTCCATGTCTGAGGATATGGCTGATTTAGAGCTCAGATGAGATATTTAATGAAATGGTTAAATGACAGTCTAGGAAGTACAGACACTCCAAGATAGTAGGGATGGCAATGGATAACCTATCCTGTGGGTATTCATGGAGACTCAACCCAAATACATGGGTTTTTTCTTTTTTTCTTATCCATTGGGTAGGATATGTGATATTCTTTAAATATCCACAGGGGATGGGTTGGGGATAGATACCCACTAATTTCCCCATATGTTTTTTTTTTTTTTTTTTTTTTTTTAAAAAGAAGAATAATATATATATATATATTATATTATACTGGGAGGTCATTTTATGTATAAAATAATATATATATTTTTAAAGTTCTATAGCAAATAATAATTTTTACAGAAATAGGGAGGTTATGGCTCCCCATAGTCTTGTCCTAATTCCGTCCTGATGTCTCGTGTCCATACTGGTGTCAGTGTTTGTGCTTATCAGATGACAGTCAAGGTCCTTTTCATTTGAGGTGGCTTTAAGATGAATTCCTGATATACTTACAACAGTTAAAACAGTTGGTTCCAATTTTTAGGGGTGAGCAAGGAATCCGTGAAATCCGTAATCCGATCCAGTCCAGTCCAATCTGATAGGTTTGGATTGGTTTTTTGAATCCGCGGTTTGGTTCCAGATTGAAGATTTAAAAATCCGTAGTACACGGATTGGTTCCGGATTGAACCCCATGGTTCCGGATTTGAACCGATCCGGACCGTATACAAATAGTATATATTTTTATTATATATCCTCCCCCATAGTATCTTCTCTTATTCTATATAAAATCTAAACTCAAACCTAAAACCGTATAACATCTTCTTTTATTACTTTTGTTTGTTAGTTTTTAATTTTAATTTGTAATGGTCTAAATATTTATGGTGAAACTAGTTTTCTTATGGTTGTTTAAATTGTAGAACAGTATGTCACTATTATAGAAATATATCTTGCTATTGTGGAACTAATATAGTGCTATGTTTATATTTTTATGAAATTAAAGTGTTATATATATTTTTTTGTTATTTAATTATGTGAATCCGTGGTCCTAAACCGATCCAATCCGTATTTAAATGGATTGGTTCGGATTGGTTCCATGATTTAAACGGATTGGATTGGTTCCAATTTTTCAAAAACCGTAGATAATGGATTGGTCTTAGTTTTACCCCAATCCAGTCCAATCCAGACCATGCTCACCCCTACCAATTTTTAAAATTTTTAGTGAAATATGTTAACATACTAATTTTCCTTAGTTATGTCGGGGAATCATGAAACTGGCAACGTTGATAATAATGAAAAGTGCACCATTAATTTTGGTCATGAAGATGCTGATGAGACTGAAAAAATTTGATGATGATCATGATAAAAAAGGCCACACCGATGACAATGACAGTGTTGATGATGATGCCGCCACATTGTCCTCTGAAACTGAATGGAGTGGTGATGTTGATGTGGCAGATGGTCACATTTTCGATGAAAAAAGGGCCCGAATGTCTCTTGCAAAGCTTTTCTGCACACAAGCTTGGCCACCTTAAAGGGTTGAAAGTAAGTATTTTAAACAAATCCTCAAGATTCTTAATCCACAGTTTCAGATCAGTAAACATACTTTTAGGAACGACTGCTTGGAATTCTTTGAGGAAGAGAAAGCTAAAATTAACAAACTTGGGTTGACATTGAAGACTCTCTGTCCATATACTGACCCAAGGCTTTGATTATCTATGCTTGAAAGCACATTTCATCGATGATTGTTGGAAGCTAAAGAGTTGGATTCTTGTCTATCGTCGCATGTGGCATCCGAATGAAATGGCCACGGATGCAGCCATTGGGAAGTCTCTTTCTGAATGGGGCATAGAGAGCAAGGTATTCACAATCACTATGGGAAACAATCATAAAGGATCACATTCAAGGAAAGAATGATATATGTGAGATTCTTAATGGTCGTCTCTTTCGTGTTTATTGCTGTGCTGACATGTTAAGCAGAATGGTGCAAGATGGTTTTGAGGAGATCAGTGATGCTGTTTTCGATATTCGCCTAATAGTCCCTGGGGGAAGATATTTGCCTATATGGTATCTCATATTAGACAGGCTACAAGAAGGGTTGCCTTTAGAGTCGTTGGGAGAATTCTACTCATCAGATGATTATGATGGTTTTGATATACCTTCCCCGAACGAATGGAAAAAAGTTCAAGGTGTGTGTAAACTTGTTCAAATTATATATAATGTAGCACAAATCTTGTTTGACACGAAGCATTATTCAACCGCTCCTTTATACCTTCACAGCCTTCAAGAGCTTGGGTCAAATTTGGGGGAGGAATGCAGGAATTCTGATGTTTTTGTCAGCAATTTGGCTCGGAAAATGCTAAGCAAGCTTGAGGAGTGCAGGAAGAACATGTTCATTGTATTGTTGATTGCTACAGTAATGGATTCTCGGTGCAAGATGAAATTCATAGAATTTTCTGTCAAAGTTTGAAAATGGTGATTGCAAATCAGAAGCTACAATTGTTCTAGAGGCTGTTCAGGGACTCTACAACGATTATGCAACCCCAGTTCCCCGAAAGTGAGTATTGTGCAAGTGATTTGAGTTCTTCTGAGTCAGATGAGGAAGAATGTGAGAGCTCTGAAAACGTTATTAAGTGGCTGCAAGAGTATGAAGTGTTTGTTCAATCTATTGGTCAGCCTCCAAAGTCCGAACTAGATTTATACTTGGAAGAGCCTGTTGTGCCATGGAGCGTTGATTTCAGTGCATTGAGTTGGTGGAGAGCTGCTTCCTCCAAGTATCCTACTGTATCCAAGATGGCTCGGGATTTCTTGGCTATTCCGATATCTCTTGCAACTTCATTTGAAGCATATTATGCCACACAAAGGCCCGCTAATGAATGTGTTGTTTCGGTGGATCGTGACATAATGAATGCCTTGATGTGTACTCAAAGCTGGTCCAGGAGACGCTGAAAGATTGTGGTGAGGTATTGAATTTTTCCTTTTCTTTCGTGCTTGAATTGTAATGAGATATTGCTTTGTTTTGTTTTCTTTGCTAACTCATCCTAATGCTGAACAGATCAGTTTTGGTTCTTGCTGATACTGTGATGTGAGGCTTGTGCATGGCTGAACAGATCATATGGATATTGGATCTCAGAGAGAATTGGAAGTGGTTTGTCAGTTTTTGCTTTTTTTTGGGGTTTGGAAACCTCATATTTTGAAGGCCTTTCCTTTTGCTCATTATGCATATCATCAGCATATATGACTGACTGAATCAGTGTATGGGTATCTTTAATATTTGCTGACTAGAAATCTTGTTTATGACAGACGTTGTTCGGTGAATTTAATATTAACAGATTGTAGTGTTGCTTATTGGATATCTTGTCTGTTATTTATTCAACACTCCATTTGTTTTGGTATAACATATTTTTTATAGGGAAAATGTTTTTGAAATTTTTTTTTTGGTTGCATTATTGAACATGATGTGCTAATGATTTGTGACAGTGGTAGTGTTGGTGTTGGTGTTGGTGTTGGTGTGTGGTGGTGGCAACAGTTACGACAATGGGGTGGTGGTGATTGTGAGGTGGCAGTGGAGGAGGGGGTGTTAAGTTGATTATAAAATGAGAGTACCATTCATAAATTGTATATGCCCAACCCCCCAAAAATGTAAAGAAATTTATATGTATATTTGTGATCATCAAATTAAAGCACTCATGTAACTTAATTTTTAAAAAGGAAATTTCAATTAGTAAATAATAAAAATGACGTTTGAAACATTGGGTTTAATGAATGAATGCGAGGAAAAAAAATCCAAAATCAAACCTTAAAAAGAAAGGGCAACAAATACAAAAAATGCATTTACAACAAAATGGTATTCAAAAGAGTGCGTGAGGGCTTGTCTGGTGATGGGCTTGGTGCCGTTGGGATCGTAAGGAAATTCCGAGCTGTTTGGTATAGTCCACTGTGTACGGAACTAAGAACCAAAATTGAGGGATGCCAGAATTGTGTTTCTAGGCTCTGATACCATGTGAGGTTGGTAACGAGGGAGAGAACAGAGAGGGATTGAAAGTTGGTGTTGTTATATTATGTTTCTGTATCTTACAAGAGAGCAAGCTCCCTCTCTTTATAGAGAGGAGAGGGAGACAATTAGAATCGGATGCCTGGTAATTTACATTGAGAGAAGCTAAAGCTAAAGTGAAAGTTCTCTTCTTTACAGCTACACATTGTGGCCTTTACAGATGCAAGGTCTTTTACAGCTATACATGGTAGTGGGGGTGTATATTATATGTATATTATATGTTAACATGGATATTGGATCTCAGAGAGAATTGGAAGTGCTTTGTCAGTTTTTGCTTTTGTTTTGGGTTTGGAAACCTCATATTTTGAAGGCCTTTCCTTTTGCTCATTATGCATATCATCAGCATATATGACTGACTGAATCAGTGTATGGGTATCTTTAATATTTGCTGACTAGAAATCTTGTTTATGACAGACGTTGTTCGGTGAATTTAATATTAACAGATTGTAGTGTTGCTTATTGGATATCTTGTCTGTTATTTATTCAACACTCCATTTGTTTTGGTATAACATATTTTTTATAGGGAAAATGTTTTTGAAATTTTTTTTTTGGTTGCATTATTGAACATGATGTGCTAATGATTTGTGACAGTGGTAGTGTTGGTGTTGGTGTTGGTGTTGGTGTGTGGTGGTGGCAACAGTTACGACAATGGGGTGGTGGTGATTGTGAGGTGGCAGTGGAGGAGGGGGTGTTAAGTTGATTATAAAATGAGAGTACCATTCATAAATTGTATATGCCCAACCCCCCAAAAATGTAAAGAAATTTATATGTATATTTGTGATCATCAAATTAAAGCACTCATGTAACTTAATTTTTAAAAAGGAAATTTCAATTAGTAAATAATAAAAATGACATTTGGAACATTGGGTTTAATGAATGAATGCGAGGAAAAAAAATCCAAAATCAAACCTTAAAAAGAAAGGGCAACAAATACAAAAAATGCATTTACAACAAAATGGTATTCAAAAATTGAAAATCATGAGCCAAGATTTTCTCAAAAAAAGAAACCAGCTGTTATGGAAATCTCATTAAATCAAATTTAAATGTTATAAATGGATAGTAAATAAATAAATGAAAGTCATTACAGAGTGGAATAGTTAAATACTGCCTACAAAAAATAAATAAAAAAAACAAAATCCAAAGAGCAATATTGGTTAGTAAATAGTGACCACCGTCCGATTAGACAATTGCCACCTGGACGGTTCTAATCTGTCTGTCTTCCCGCGCAGATTGGAAGACTTCCCTCCAAATTGCAAGCAGCCACAACAGAAGAAGAAGAAGAAGAAGAAGAAGAACCCTAGAAAATCTCAGTGTGAGTCCGTACATTTCCACATCAATTCAGCCTCCAGGTATTGTTCTAATTCTTGTTGCTTATTAATATTGCTGATTTGTTTTACGCTTGTTTGCTGAGAAAATGATAGGGAAATTTAGACCCTAATGACAAAATTTGTTCCGAGATTTCCAGTTTTGTGTGTGTGTGTGTGTGTGTGTGTGTGTGTGTTTTCTTAGCAACCAAACAGAGAACTACGGATCTGTTGTAAATATTTCTTCTTATTATAGTTTTTTACCGGGTCATTCTTATATCTTTTATTTATTGATTTTTGTCAATTTTTTAGGTTATGTTTTATTCCTGTAAATATCAAACAAACTGCTTGAGAAAGGAAACCACTTTTTTCAATTGTTTTGTATCCTTTTCTCTCGTTTCTCCTGAGCACCAAACAGAGGTTTAAGGCTTTTTTTTTTTTTTTTTTTTTTAATTATTTAATTATTTTGTTTTGTTTTTCAGAGGCCTTACTGCATTCACGTTTTGTGTGCTGTTTGTCTGTCAGACGGAAACGTTTTGTTAGTTATGTCGGGTAATCGTGAAATTGATGATGGTCCTGATACCGAAATGAGTGGCTACTTTTTTGGCAATGAATGCTACGGCGGAGAGAGTAATGATGATGATGATGATGATGACGGTGATGGTGATGGTGATATGAATGCTGTTGATGAAGAGGAAATTAGCAGAATTCTTGCAAAGTTAGTCTGCACTGATGATGACTTTACGCCTAGGGTTGTAGAAGATCAATCCTTCCTAAACTTTGCACATTCCCTCAATCCTCTGGCCAAATTGGGAAGTGTTGAAACTCTCAAAAGCAATTGTTTGGAGTTCTACAGGGAAGAGAAAGTGAAGATTAAACATATTTTGGAAAAATATGATGGGCAGATTAGCCTTTCGGTTGACATATTAAGGAGTCCGTCCAGGCAAGAATATATGTGCCTAACCACACATTTTATTGATGATAAGTGGAAACTCAAGAAATGGGTTATCATTTGTCGTGTTCTTTTGAAGGATGTGCTTCCAAAAGCCATCCAGAAGTCGCTTACATATTGGAACATAGGAAGCAAGATCTCCACGATCACTTTGAAACATAACAGTTACAACGATGAAACAGTTGAGATGGTGAAAGATCACATTCAGAAATCGAAGACGCTTCAACTTAATGGTCAGCTATTTCATGTCCATTGTTGTGCCGACTTGTTTAATGAAATGGTGCAAGGTGCGTTTGATGAAATATCTAAAATTATTGACAAAGTTCAGGAGCTAATTAGTTGGGGGAATTCGTTGCCTTTGTGGTATATCACGACCTCAAGGCTAGAGAGTGCTTTAGAGTTGGAGTCTATGGGAGAATTTTCTTCACAAAAAGTGCTTGATGCTTATGATGTACCATCTGCTGATGAATGGGAGAAAGTTCGACTGATTTGTAAACTCGTGGACAAAATGCACAAGGTAGCAAAAATGTTGTTTGAGACAAAGTATCCAACTGCTAGCATATATCTTGGTAATCTTCAAGAGCTTCGTATGAGTCTGACTCGGGAGGCTTCAAGCTCAGATAGTTTCATTAGTGCTGTTGCTGAGAAAATGCTTAAGCAGTTTGATGAGTATTGGAAGGATATGTATTTGGTGTTGGCATTAGCTACAGTAATGGATCCCCAGTGTAAGATGAAGTACATAGAATACTTATCTATGAAAGATGAGGGTGGTAACAATGTTACCTCGCAAGTTTCAACCATCTTGAAGGCCATTTGCACCCTTTTTGATGATTATTCAACCCATTTTCTTGGAAAAGTAAACTCAGCAAGCGATTCAACTTCTTCAGGCTCTGAAGAGGTGGAATGTCCTGATTCTGACTCTAAAGAGGAGGTTCCTGTGACCAAAAAAAGTAAGATTCAAGAGGTTTCTATACAAGTTGAGGAAGGACCTATCAATCCAAATCGTTCTAGTCATTTGCAAGACTATCAACAGTTTATCCAATCTACTAGTCAGCCTCCCAAGTCAGAACTAGACTGGTATTTGGAGGAACCAGTCTTACCTTGGAGTGACCATTTCAACATATTAAAATGGTGGAGAGCTGCAAGTCCCAAGTATCCTGTCCTCTCCCGGATGGCTCGTGATTTTTTGTCAATTCCATTATCCGTTGTAACTTCATATGATGCCTATTATACAAAGGAAAGAGAAATTGATCGGCGTCTTATTTCTTCAGGGCCAGTTGTAATGAATGCCTTGATGTGTACTCGAAGTTGGCATCGAAAGCACTAAACATCTACCTTCAGGGTGCGTAATTTTACTTTCCATTCGTGCACTTTCATTTTTTTTTGCAAATTCAATTACACATGGTTATCACCACACCAACTACCTTCAGGGTGCGTAATTCTTAATGTTGACAACAGGTACTCCTTTTGGTTGTTGCTGCTGTTTCAGGACTGCTAATCATTATCATTTGGCCAACATGAGAAATTATTTTGTTTTGTCTGTTTTGTTTGATAAGCTCCAGTCATATATGGATGCTGAATTTTTGCTCATTGGAGCTCTTAACTGATGCTTTAATTTTTGGGATTCTAAACAGTCCATGAATAGCTTATGGTATTTCATATGGTACCCTTTAAATTTTGTTTGCCTAAAGTAAGGTTAATTGAATCTTTCTTAACTTGGATGCTAATTGAATCAGCCTTTTGTTTGATAAACCTTGGTGTTTCTTTTGTTTAATTTTTTATTTTATTTTATTTTTATGCAGATGAATCAAATAAGAAATTCAAAAGTGGCTGGGTTTTCAACTGAATTCTCAACAGTCACATAGGATTTAATAGCCATGCTAGATCTGGACCTTTATCTTACGTTAAACCTCTTTCTAATTTTATGAGATGCAGAAAAAGATTTATTATTTCATTCATATGAAAGATAATGTAGCCAAGCACAATCAATTTAGATTACCCCCCTGTATATCTTTGAGTTGGAAAACCAGATAATTATGGGGTTATGGTGAGTGGGACTACACTTGATCTATCATGTGTCATTGTGTTTGTGTGCGAGGAACATATTACTATTTGAGTTCTGTTGTCACCTCCAATTTAAAAAGACACCTAGTATTGGTTTTACATGAGAATATTATTCAATGTATTTGGTTTTAGTTTTCTGAAAATTGAGTTTTTTGTTTTTCGTGTTTTTTTTTTTGTTTTTAGTGAATATTTTTTAAATTTTAAGTAATTTTTTTACTTTTTTAGTTGCACCTTATTTAGATATATCTAAATAGTAAAATATTTGTGAAAAATATTTTAAAAAATTAATAAATACACAAAAATACGAAAAATGTATTGAATTTTTGTATTTTTTAAAAATATTTTTTAGTATTTAGTGTAATTTTTGAAGATTTTTATTTTTTACAAATATTATACTTGTTAAGTGTATTTACGTTAGGTGTGTCTAAATTTTTTTTTTATAAAAAAATTGCTTAAAATATTAAAAAAATTCATTGAAAACATTAAAATACAGAAAATAAAAAAGTAGAATATTCTGAAAAACAGAACCAAAAAAAAATTATTCACCCAAAAAAATTGGTTTTTCCTTTTGAAGAAATCTCTAGTTCTTTAATGGCCTACTGTTTGTTGGTAAATGTTGTTTCAAAATGCTAAATAATCTGAAAGACTGTACAGTACAAGGGTGTTGAAATGTAGGAGAAGTTACAGAAAGAGCATGAGCCTGCATGCTGTCTACGAACCATATTGTATTGTTTTGAAGTTTGTCTGAAGCTGATTTTGTGCTCAGTTTGTTGACATTCTTCAGTCTCTTACTATACTGCACGATATGTGCCTTTTTGAGTATCTCTCTATACAAGCTTTTCGTGTTGGCTTGATTTTGATTGCATTGGATTCATCTGCTCTGGTCTCATATCACTTGTTGATTTGCTAGAATTGGTCGTGGGTTTGGGTTACACAAACATCTTTTTTTCCAATTCTTTCAACTGTATGATATGGGGGGTGAGTGGACCATTTATATTTGACTATAATGTAACGAACGCAACTAAAGTGGATTTGCTTTTCTAATCCACAAGGTAATAATGGCAAGTTGAATGGCTAGAAGTTTTCTCAACGCTCTGACCTAAAGATTCCTTTCGAGGGTCGATGCTTTGTCTGGCCCATCCAATGTGTGCCATTAAATTAAGATAAAGCAGAAAACATTTTTTTATGGCAACTCATTAGTCACCGTGTGTGTAGAGATGCCAACAGGAAGGGACGTGAGCGGCTTTGCAGTGTTTTTTGCCCCCCCCAATCATATATCATATCGGGGGAGGTAGCGGGACAAAGCGGGGGTAGATTAATAATGATTTAAATATGGTGAGAATGAAAATAATATAAAATGATAAATAAATTAGTGAAAATGAAGGGAAATTCTATGATACACATCTCATTTAGGTGTGTATTATATAATTAGTTATGACTTCTTATGATTTTTATTTTAATTATGACTGAAAAGATTTTTGATTATGCATCAAGTGGTGTGTAGTTAAACCCTTAATTATTATTCATTGTGATGTTAGTTATGACATTAGTACAAACTCAAAACATTCTTTTTAACTAATTAGTTGACATTTATGATCAGTCCAATGGAAGTTTATGTCTACCTTTATAAGCTAGCTTATGAACTGCACTCAATATAGTGTTTAGGGTGATCCAATGCACAATACTTCTCACTATTCTAAGGTTTAGAAAGAAAAAAAAAAAATTGCAGTCTTACCCATGGTGTCATTCTTAGATTTACTTCTTTTATTTTTTATTTTGTCTTAATCAAAGAATGCTACAATCATTGTAAATTGTAAACTCAGCTGGCTGCTCTTTGTGTATTCACTTCATAAATTTTCTTGGTGTTTTTTTTTTTTTTTTTTTTTTTTTTTCCAAATTTTAATTTACGATTCAACAATATTGGCCAATGTAGTGGAGGCATATGCAAACTTTAATGGGAGTATGTGTAAGATTAAAATACAAACTCTAGTCTAGTGGAGGTTTGTATGTGTAAGATTAAAAAACAATGATTGAAAGCTAAGTTGGGTTAGGAGAATCGATCATTTTTAATGCGTAGATGGGAATGGATAATCTTTGCACTCATAAATTTAATGCTGTCCTTTGTTTTTCCTTAACAGCTCAGCTTGGTGTTTGGCCAGGTTTAAATTGCTGCATTGTTGCCAAGTACTTACCAAACTTTTCTATCTTTGTTATTTGCATCATCATCAACCACTCTAATTATAATAATAATAACAATAGCCTAGTAGATAACTCCCAATGTTGCTCTTCAATATGTCGTCACATTTGGTCCTACAATAACATGTTATATTCTAAATCTTGTCTTTAGCGTAGAAGGATCTCTTTATCCACATCCTGATTAATTAAGGCATTAGTGGTATTTGATACAGTGATCGAGTTGTTTATTAGAATTTATGCATATTTGGTGCAGCTTATAACTCTCTCTCTCTCTCTCCCTCTCTCTCTCATTTTGTCAAAAAATTAGGTACAACTTCTACTTATAGTTTATAAGGTTAAAAAAATTAATCTAAATTGACCATTGACATGTGTACTTACCATAATCTCACTATTTTATACACAATATGTGAGTGTGGGCATCCATGCATTAAAAAATTATGAAAGTCTTTTTACCATAATCTATTCATTTTACCAAATTTCAGTTTGCAAAAGAAATTGCACTAAGTTGGGCATTGTCATGTGTAATACAATAATCTCTCTACTGTATATACAATATGTGAGTGTGTATTTACGTATTGAAAAAGAATGGATAGTTTTGATGGCTATCTAATTAACTTTTCTATTAAGCTTTTTGTTTTATTATACTTGTGAATGAGTAAGCAAAGAAAGCTTATGAGGTAATTAATTAGGTTTGGCCTTAAACAAATGAATTGGAATTGTGATGAGGTTTTGTACTCAATTTTGTATTTTATTAGAGGTTGAAATTTCAGACCCCATCTTAATCTCCGATAGCAACCTCAAGCAATATGAGCACCTAATGGTCCTATGTCAGCAACCATATTGTGATCAAACGTGGCACTTACTTCAATCACAAGAATGTTTAATATAATTTATAAAATATATGGTCCAATTAAAAACCCTAAATTAATCAAATTAGCTGAATTGATCACACTCTTATATACTTCAATCTAAGACATCAAGAAGTTAATATTTGTCAATAAATTATTTGATACAATTATTCTTGTATTTGCAATTAATCTCTTATAAATTGACAAAATAAAAATAAAAATAAAAAATCCTAAACTCTTTTAGGGAACATATTTGCTTTGATATAACCAACACAACTCATTTATTTAGATTTATTAATTCATAAGATTGTTCATCTCAATTAAAATTATCACATCAACAAATGAAACTAAACGAGCAAAGGAGTACATGTGATCTGAATTTGCCTTAAAATGGTAAGTAGTTCATTCATAATTGTTTATTCAATTATTATTCTAAACATTGTCCTCTATCTAATTATGATTTTTAATTAGAATATGATATAACAAATGAAGCGGTCATTATTCTTCTAAACATTGTTCTCTATCCAATGATTTTTATTTTTAATTAATACAATAAAACTTAATAAATTATAACTGCGATAAAGATAAAATTCATCATATCAATAATACAAAAAACTCAAAGTAAGAAAGAAGCTCCAAATAAATGTATGAAAAAAGGAAGATAAGCTATTCCATGTTTATGAGAGATGCATTATTATTATTCACTTTTTGTTGGCAAAATAAAAGGGAAAACAGTTTGTGAAATATACATAAAAAGGGGCAAATTAGTAAATTAGCTTTGGAATGGTGGGAAACGAAACGACAAAGCAATTCAACTAAGGACTAACCTGTTCTCACAATTCCCGCACTAAAAGCTCTCTCTCTCTCTCTCTAGAATCTCTCTAGAATCTCTATATAACGCTCTACGCTTGTAATTTGGGTCCTCATCCCATCTTTCTTACAACAAACAGCAAACCCTAATTCTCCAAAATCTACCCAACTTTCTCTCTCAATCGATTACCATAGTCTCAGAAGAATAAGAAGAAGAAAAGAGAATCAATGGTGGCCGGAGCAGAGATATTGTGTCAACAGAGCATATCTGTACTCGATGTTCAGTACCGTTGCGTCCCCAAACCGATCGAGAACCACTTCTTGGACGTCTCTTCTACTGCCCCCTCCGATCTTTCGTGAAGTTCGCTCTTCCGATTCGCTCTCCATCTCCAGCTCTGAATCGGTAGGTTTCAATTCTCCCCAATTCACTCTCAATTGGATTCTTGATTTATTACATGGCTGTTTGTTTGTATAGGATTTTAGATATGAGGGTGCAAGTGGGTTTGTATTTACTTCTTGATTGCAATCAATCAAACCTATTTGGCAAAAAATATATATATATATATATATATATAGAAAGAAAGACGCAGAGAGCTTGTTTTGTTGGTAAGTTGAATTTTTTTTTGCATTGGCAGATAAGGAAATATGTAAACAAAATTAATAGGTTAGAACTAGTGGATTATTTTCTTGGTGGCTTTTCTTCATAATTAGGCAGATTGTCCCTTTACAATCTTTTAATTATTCTGTAAGGCTTAAGCTCTACAAGTAAAACATATTTTTATTATTGTTTAATAAGTAGTTTCATTCTCGGTAATCTTTGATTTGTTTAGTTTCAACCAAGTTGTAGTGCTTATTGGGCATGTTTGATTACAAGGATTATAGCATAGGACTGGGATTGTTAGTCCATGGACTCTCAATCCCATGTTTGATTTACGGCTGATATTCAATCAGATGAAATTAGCGAATTTTTAATATTGAGAGGGGCTGAGGGTCATATGAAAGAAAAAAACAAAATGAATACATAATAAATGGTTATCGCACTAATTTAATTGGATAACTAATTCTACACTAATTCATGAAATTATTAATCATTTCACTATTAATCCTGTTAATCAGACAAGGCCATTATGTTTTGAAAGAGTGGATTATGTGTTCCTCTGGGTTGTTGTAACAGTTTTTGTACTGGTTTGTTGTTTACTTGGTCTTGACATATATTTGGGAATGCGTTAACCTTAATATCTTCTTCTTTAACAGGTTGTGAGCTGCTTAAGTAGTTTTCAAACTAATGTTATTGAGACTTCCACCATCAAGTTTGCTCCGAGCATTCGTTCAGGTAGCCACACAGACAAAGGATGTCGGAAATCCAATGAAGATGAACACATTTGCGTTGATAATCTATCTGCACACTTGGACTATCTGTTTGGGTACCCTTTGCCCAGTGCTTTTTATGCTGTTTTTGATGGACATGGAGGGTCCAATGCTGCAGCAGCTTATGTTAAGGAGAATGCTATGAAATTATTTTTTGAAGATGCTAACTTGCCGCCAACATCTGATATTGATGATGCTTTCTTGGAAAAGTTGAAGAATTCTCATCACAGAGCATTTCTACTGGCTGACCAAGCATTGGCCAGTGAATGTAGTGTTCCAGATTCTTGTGGAACAACAGCACTGACTGCCCTTGTACTTGGCAGGCATCTAATGGTAGCCAATGCTGGTGATTGTCGTGCAGTTCTCTGCAGGAAAGGAGTAGCAGTGCAAATGTCCCAAGACCATAGGCCTAGTTATTCACCAGAATGCCAGAGAGTAGAGGAGCTAGGTGGCTACTTTGAGGATGGGTACCTTAATGGTGATCTCGCAGTCACCCGAGCCCTTGGAGACTGGTACATGAAATTTCCAATTGGGTCTTCATCACCTCTAACTGCCGAGCCAGAAGTTCAACAAATCATGTTAACAGAGGATGATGAATTCTTGATTGTTGCTTGTGATGGGATCTGGGATGTTATGTCAAACGAGCATGCAGTCAGCTTGGTTCGCCGTGCACTAAGGCGTCACAACGACCCACAACAGTGTGCCAGAGAACTTGTGAATGAGGCTTTACGATTGAATACAGCTGACAATCTCACTGCGATCATTGTGTGCTTTACTTCTGTTTGTCATGAGTCAACTCCTCAGCAGAGGCAAAAGTTGAGGTGCTGCAGCCTGTCTGAGGAGGCCAGAAATAGGTTGAGGAGCTTGCTAGAAGGCAACTGAATAAAACAAATCAATTCCTAGCACAAAACCTACAGAATGAAAAGTGTAAATGCAGATTTTTTTACTGAGGTTTTCTGTTGCGGAAAAGATTGTCAATCTGTTTGTGGCTACTTCAGATGTGTTAGAAAAAGCTGCCAGCAATTTTGTAGGGTGAGCAGGTCGGTGGGTTGGGGTGATTGTGTGGCGGATACAGCTTTGGATTATATGTTACTTTGAGTTGTTCAAGTGTTCAAAGGTTCACACAGAAATTTGCTTCCTATTCTCATCCCTCATTTCATAATTTATATGCAATCACAGCAATCGTTTTCGATAATTTCCTTGAGTTTATAGATGGTTGAGATTTATTCATTCTAGCTCGGTGCCCATTTATTTGAATCGCAGTTAATGGAGTGAGCTTCTCTAGTGTTCCAACTGGTACTAATAAACTGAAATAAGCTCTTGTGATGATTTGGAAAATTCAGCCATAGTCCCACATTCAAATTTTATTGCCAAAAAATAAAAAATAACAAATAAAAATAAAGGAAGAAGAAGAAAAGCAAAGAAAAAGAAGATACCCTTGAAAATTGTCCTCTTTAAATTTGTCAGTGATGTAAATACCAATTTATATGATCAAACTACCCCCAACACTGACATTCTTGGATTGTTAAGTAGCTTCCATTTTAGAATTATTTCAAAATTTTAAAATAATTATCACTTTTTATCTATATATTTGTTTGTAATAAAAATTGAAAATTTTCAAATTAGCTCAATGAAATCTATCAAACAATATTTATGTTGAATATGAAATTTGTCATTATCAAATTGGACAATCTGAAATCTGCCTTTACACTTCAGGAATTACATACCAATCTTGCAAACAATGAACAATGCTTCAACCGTGGGAAAAAGTTTACTAGACACAAGCATAAAACCAAACTTTTTGCTGCATTAGCTTTACAAGAAAATGCTAGTGAAACAAGAAACAACTGTGCCTACCAATATATAAGCACACCAGTCTTTAATGTGAACATCATTTTATACAAGTTCTCAAGACTAATTCATCATATACCACCAGTAAGAAGATCAACCATTCTACGCGTACTTAAAAACCTATCTTCTAAGTCAATAATTTTTAATTTTGTTTTTGTTAATTCCTAATTATTTATCATGATTATCAGAATCTCGATCCAGATCGTAAGATCTTACGACTTCGGTTGGACCAAACGATTCAAATCACATTAGAATCTTAAAATAATTACGATCCAAGTCATAAGATGATATAAAATTACATACGATTCCGATTCTATTACAATCCCGATCCTACCAATTTGTTTTGTTATTATTTATTTCTTATATATGTGTGTATCTATATAAAAAATTAACATAGAATATACATTATATCAAATTTATCAATTTTCTTTATTCTTTTTAAAATTATGTAACAAAGATTATCATTATCGATAATTTTTTATTTTATTTTGCATTAAAAGTAAGATCTTATGATTCTTGATCTGATCCACAAGTCAAGTCTCTCCCAACGATCCTACCTGGATCCCGATTTTAACAATTTTGTTACTTATAAAGAAACATGTGGTGCCAATCAATTCCTGCCCGCTTGTAACTTTGAGAATGATGGAAGAGCCTTGAACAAGACGGCGTTCATATGTTCACATGCAGATGGTTATGATCTGAAGATTTTGGTATCTCATCAAACATTCCCAATACTTATTCATAGAAAGAACATATCGAAATGTTCATGGTACAGACAAATAAGTTTGCCATTTCAGATTTTGTTGATCCAAATATAGCAACTTTTATTAAGAAACAAAAGCAGAAAGACTCGAATAGAGACCATCACCCTTTTGGTTCACAGCTGGACTGGTTCGGGTTTGTAGTCAACAACAAGTAATTTCTCCAAAACAGGGCGAAGTACATTCGCAAATTCAACATGAGTTGGATGAGAAATGTACTCTGCAATGCCTTCTACGGTCTCAAAGGTTAACTCGAAAACATGAGTGAAACCTTGCTGCAGGTTCTCAATGCTGATGTCCTTTCCCCTGTTAATAGTACAACAAATAAATTAAGGAGAATTGGTAAATGCCATATTTCATGTTTAAATCACCAAAATTTGTTATATTCCTAGTTCACTAGAAATATAGCCAAATGCATCAATGGTTCAACAATTTGCACATTCTTCATCATATACACATGCCATGAAGAACATTCTCTATGAAAGAGAGGGAGAGTTTTGACTATAGAGCACAAAGACAGACAGTCTAACAGTCATTTTTTAGATATGTTGGTGGAGATATACTAGAACTTCGATTTGCTTCGGAATTTTGGGAAGAAGTTGGGAAAGCATTATTTTTTTTTTCTTCCTTTTTCTTTTAGATACATTTTGAAAAGTTCAATTGATTTCACAGATCTTATTTAAACTCCAAAAGCATTTAGTGCGACATATTGTCCAAATGGTGTGAGTGATCATAATAAACAAGAAAGATTGACATTATATTATAATGGGAAGTCAGGTTGAGCTCTACCAAAAATATGGATGAACAACCCAATAAAACAGTGATTTTTGGCCTATTAACAGGACCACAAAAGCATCTTTTTTTTTCTTTTTTCTTTTTTAAGGTACTTAGGAAAGTCTGACCACAAAAGCATCATAGCAATAAAATTGGCAACAAAAAGGTTCTGCTACAGATAAATCCAATTCTTAAAAAAAAAAAAGAAAAAAAAGATTGGAATTGATGATTTTGCCCCTCAAAACCTCAGATTATACTGTTTTTAACCATAGAAAGATGTAAAAATTTCATAAAGATAGGCATGATATCCGTTCAAATCTACCTACAGCAACAAAATTGAGAGAAACCCATATGTTGTCCACAAAATGTGCAAACCCAGAAAGTAATTGTAGAGAACACAGAACAAACAACAAAATAAGAATACCCACCCACACGCACACTCTCATAATCTATTCAAATCCAGCTACTACAACAAAATTGAGAGATAACCCATATTTGGAGAATTCTATTATACACCATCCATACCATATGCACCCTTTAGTATCTTATGCTATTTTCATTATTTTGAAATATTTAGTTATATTTTTTTATGTGTGGCTACGATTTTTTTTTTTTTAAATTTTTTTAAGTTATAACTCAAGTTAGGATAAATTACAAACACATCTCTTGAGATTTACTTAAATTACGAACTACTCCTGTGATTTTAGAGATTATATGTCCCCTAAGATTTTTAATTTTATAACATATAGGTCTTTTTATTAATAAATCATTAAGTTAATTACCAATTTTTAATAATGTTAAAATTTTATTTTAATTAATAATTCAAATAATTTTATTATTGTATAGGTGAACAGTTAAAAATTTTACTTTTTTAATGAATTATGTTAAATAAAACATTCTGATAGGAGATATTTATATTTTTTCAAACCACAAAAGCAAATTCGTATTTTAAACAAATTTTAAGATGTATTTGTAACTTATCCCTCAAGTTATGTCATTTTTGGGTATAATTAAAAAGTGCATATGGTATACAACAACGTATATTCCTTCCTCCCATATTTTTATCTACAAATTTTGCAAACAGTCCCGATTTAGAGCACTAAATTAGAAGCTTTAAAAGATCACTAATAAAGTGGCAGTGTAAAGAAAAAAAAAATAAAGTCCAAATTATCACATCAGTAGTTTACGATGTTGATTAGTGGTGCTAAATTTAGTGACGTGAAGCATTTTTGCAAAACCCAAAAAGTAAAGAACAAAACACAAAATAAGAAAATACACACACAGATATACATATACATTTATAGAAACATGTAGAGGGTGAGTGGTACCAGTGGAAAGACTTCAAGGGCTCGATGTGATGGACAAGTTTGGCGAAGTCCTTGATGAGTTGATCAATCTGGTCAGGTGGAATGTCATTTTTGAACTTGACTAGCAAGATGTGCTTCACCACTCCCTTTGGCCTGGCCTCTTCCTCCATTTTTCTCTCTTCTTCTTCTCACTCTTTTTTACTTGGTCCTCTTCACCGCTTCTTATATATGCTGAGGCTTTGGATTGTTTGGTAGTGATATCAACACGGACTTGCAGGTGTGACCGGTGAATTTTTAATTTATTTCCATATTAGGGTAAAATTTGTTTGGTAACAAATTATTTAAAAAGAACATGATTTCCAAAAAATAGGGTGGATTTTAATTTATTCCCATATTAGGATAAATCTTGTTTGGTAACCAAACTTTTAAAAAGGACATGATTTCTAATAAATAGGGTGAATTTTTAATTTATTTCCATATTAGGATAAAACTTGTTTGGTAACAATTTTTTTTAAATAAACATGATTTTTAGTAAAGTTTTTAAATTTTTTTTTTCTCTGTATGAAAATAAGATTATTTTATTATCAGAAAAACTTTGTTACACATTTTTTATTTAATTACAAAGAGTGGTCGGTTTCGATTATTCAAATCATTCATTTGTAAGTCTTTAATATATATTATCTATAAAAAAAACATTAGATTAATTTAATAATAGTAATATTATTATTTTATCGTGTTTATTTCTAAAAATTCACCTAGGGTGATCATAGATCCGTTCAACTTGCTCAACCCGACCGATTCGATCCAAGCTGATTGATTTTGGGAGCATGCATGTCTTTTGGCAGATGGATGCAGATGAAATATTTCAAAATCTGCATGGCGGATCAATCATCTCGCACCGTATGAATCTGATCTGCCCGTAGATGAAGTTCAAAACAAAAATAAAAAAGGAATTGCTAACAAGTAATAATATAGGATAGAAATAATAAAATATATATTTTTATGAAAATAGAAAACAATTCTTTAAAAATATGCATGCATGGTACCATGGTCTATTATAGACAAATAATATATATGTTTTCAAATTATTAGTTATTGGAGATTGTAAAAATAATGAATTATAATTCGAAAAAATGTTCAAAATTTATAAAGTTCAAACCACTAAACCGATTAAATCCATTCGTCAATCTGCATGGCCCGTTCAATCCGTATCTGCAAAACTGATGGACAGATGTGGATTGATTTTTTTCAATCTACTTAGTTTTAGACGAATGCGGATGGGATGCCATCTGACTCAACCTGATTTGCGATGACCCCTAAATTCACCATATTTAGAAAATTAAATTACTGATTTACCCTATTTAGGGAAATAACCCCACGTGAGGGCATCTTCAACGGTGCATTACTTTTTTAACCAAATTTGAGTAAAAACTCTCTTTGATATTGCCTGTTCCAATGGAGGGATTTGACTTTTCATCAAACCACTGGTTGATCGGGCGAATGACCAGACGGTTGACCAGTCAATGCAAAATTTTCACAAAAATTGAGTTTGCATCAGATCACAACAATTTAAGATCCATTTGACCCTAATTTTCAGAAAACCCTAGGCACATATATGTTTACAAGTTCATCAGTTAAGTTTGCGACAGAGAGACACACCAGAAGAAACATCGGAGGCGGCGATGTATCTTGGGAGTCCGAGGTGGTGCTGCAGCCAAATCATTAGCTTCAGCTTCTTCAATGGAAAGATGAAACAACAAGTGGTTGAAGAGAAGAGAGACATGGTTGGTTGTTCCTCCAACCTAATAATACTTTGGTTGTTCCCCTAATTTTTTTTTTGGTCTGCCTCACGAATTACAACCTCGCATATATCAACCAAAACACTTTCACTTCTGCCACTTTTTTCTTTCTTCTAAATACAGTGACTCGTTTTTATCCCAAACAACCATATCAAATTTTATTATTTGAAAATGCATAAAATTCATAGCTTTCTGGATTTTATTTGCATCACGACTTATGAACTTGCCAATGTTATTTGAAACAGGGTGATCCAGCAATCAGGCATCAACACTGGAGCTTGGATAAGCAAGGAGGCTCATTATCTGCTTCTCTACAACTGGACCTCCAACTGTGAAATGATATAGGCTCTAATAGTTTGATCCTTTTAACCCAAGAACCTCATGTATTGCAAAACAAACAACAACAAAATAAAATTTGATTTGATGACCCAAAAAGAGAGATTACGTTGAACTAACATTTGGCATATAATGCAAGACACTAATACCATTACGGTTTATTCACATATATTCACAAGGAAGAAAGAAGATGAAGTTTATCAGGACTTATCTGAAAGTTATTCAACTTATAGGGAAATTGCAAATCAACTAAGTGGATGACCTTGTGGATATCCAGCCGAACGTCCGGTAGAAACAATGGTTCTGAACAGTGCAATGCTAAAATGTCCAAGATGTTCTCAATTTGGTAAAACATTTTTTATATTCTCAATTTGATACGTATTTGGTGAAACCATTAGAGCAATAAAATAACTTATTTTTCATCAAATTTGAATTTGGTGATGGATTTGATATACAGTTAGATATGGCCTAAGAAGAGTAGTATCAAACAACTTTTGATTTGAGTTTTATTTTGTCAAAAAAAATGTAGACCTGCCTTGTTATATGAGACCATGTGACATTGTTTATCTTATACTTTGAACTAAATATTGATGGGTCTGCCAAAAGCAATCCAAGTCTGGCAAGGCATAGGTGGTATTTTTCGTAATTAATATGAGCACTTTCTTCAAGCTTTTGTCTGCCCTACTGGGATTGCAAGTCTGACAAAGCATAGGTGGTATTTCTCATAATTAATATGAGCACTTTCTTCCACCTTTGGCCTTCATTGGGATTACAACCAACAATGTAGTTGAACTCTGGGTCTCAAAAAAGGTTAACAAGTTACTCTCCAAGCTATTTATCTTGATTTGTGTTTAGAAGTTACAAACTTTTCGTGACGCTAACATTTGAGGCAATCAACAACAAAACAAATAAGCGTATACATTGTCAACTTCTTCAAGACAGCCTAATTTGAGTCTCGTATTGTCATGACCCGAACCCGTCCCTAAAAGTTTGGGTCATAACCAGCCAGTAACCCGTAGATTGCTGAAGGCCTCAAAGGATCATACATAATATTTATGCTAATGGAGCCATAAACAGAAGTGTATAATAAAGAAAAGTCCATTGAATTGTGCCAATCATAAACAAAAATTATGAAGATAACCTCATAACACATTAACACATTTACATGCCCAAGCAAAAATATAAGTGGCATAAGAAATTTACACATATTGTTTACAAACCCAAGACCATAATGGCAAAAACAATGTAAAGTCAAGGTGTGGAGTGAGTCAAAGACAAAACTCCATCTTAGAGGCATGACTCGATTGGGTTACAAAATAACTCTTGAAGCTGACTCAAGGGGTGTGTTCTATACTGTTGATCACCTACATGTGCATACATAATATTGGGTGAGTGAAGCTCAGTGAGTAATAATACGATAAAGCAGTTGTGGGAGCCGAATAAATTCTGGATCAACGAGCGTAAGACAGGTCGGCCCCGAACGAGAGTAAGACACTTCTATTCGGCATTTACCCTATCCAGTTGAGGGGCCGAGTATAGGAGCCGGCGTTCCTACTAATAAGTGCCGTGTAGGAATGCATTATAGGGGCTAGGAGTGGGCCAGGCTCCCAAACCCAAGGAGAATACTATAAATAGGAGACCTGCAATCTTGGAAAGGTATGTGTGATAATTGTGGTATTTAACTTAGAATATAAGTAATCTAGAGCTGGGGATTGACTTGTCCGTCGGAGTGCTAATTCCGGCACGCCCGACCGGAGTATTTATTTCCTTTCAGGTGACTATCGGAGGATCACGAGCGCTCCCCAGGATCAGAAGAGTATTTCCAAAAACCACTTCTCCACAACTGGCGCCATCTGTGGGAATACTCAAACACATCCATGGGGGGCGTAACGGAGGACCCTCCGATAGTCATTCATGAAACCACGCAGAGAGACGACCTCACTCCAACAACCATGCTTGGTCCGGAAACCATCCCCGTAAGATGCACCCTGAACTTCGCATCGCCTTCGACTCCAGAGCGTGAAGCAATGCAAGCGATCATGGAACAGGTAAAGCAAAACAAACGGAGGTTGGAGAACATGAGCGCAGAGAACGAGCGTCTCCGCCAGGATTTGGCCCCGGAGGTGGCGAAGTCCAAACAAGCCGCCCACCAAGGCCCGGAGCAACCCGTGAGAACAGATGGTCGACGATCTCGAGCCCGACAACAAGACACTGATAGCAACTCCGACTCATTACCCCCGGAGCTCAAGAAGAAGGGACGAGCTGAAACTTCCAACTCTTCTGAAGAGAGGGTTCGTATAAGGCTTAAGCGAAGAAGAAACAGCTCGGATGAAGATCAACATAATCCTTTTGTACGACGGATTGCAAAGGCAGTGCTACCCAAGAAATTCAAAGCACCGGCGGTCCCAAACAAAGCAATAGCCTTGAGACAGGATTCACCTCCGCCTGGCGTAATCCACATGATATACAGCCTGCCGATGTCATCAGCGGTGCACACGATCCATTCAGAGTCTGAACCTCAGAACCAACTCACCCTGGCTAAACGGCCCCACGAAGCCAAGGGCATTACTTTTGATGATTTAGATTTGGCCAGAGTAACACTGCCCCACATTGATCCCTTGATAATCGAGTTACGCGTAAACCGGTTCACAGTTGAGCGTGTACTCATTGATCTGGGGAGCACTTTGGAGATATGTACTATAAGACTTTTACCAAACTCGGCTTCTCCGAATCTGATCTCTCTTTGGCCCCTTATCCACTATTCGACTTCAATGCCAATCCAGAGTATCTGTTGGGGAAAATTAGGCTACCTGTTCGAGCAGGCTCCCGAACAGTGGATGTAGAATTCTTAGTCGTCAAGCTGCCATCACCATATAATCTCATCATGGGACGATCCTGGTTGCATACAATGCAAGCCGTGCCAAGCACCTACCATCAGCTGCTACGCTTCCCGACGGAGCGCAGTATTGAGCAAATCTGCGGCTCCTAGAAATCGGCACAAGCATGTTATCTCCTTGCTGCCAAAAAGCCAAAGGAACTGCAGGTGAATTCCATTGAGGTCCTGGATCAAGAGAGCCTCGACGATGTTGGGCAGCTCCCAAATGAAAAGGCCACGAAAGGTTTAGACCGAGT